TTTTATCTCCTCGTTTTCAAGCGGCCGTTCTGCAGCGGTTTTTTTTTTTTGTTGTTTCTTTTTCGAGTCAAATAAATACAGAATTGGGCAAATCTAGTGGAGATGTTTTAGTTACAATGGCAAAGATGAGTCATGTGCAACACAGAAACCTATAAGGCTTGTTTTTTTTTTTTCCTCTCTTTTTTTTTTTTTTTTTTCTCATTTGAAGTCTCGAATCGCTATTAATTAACAAGATGGTGCTCACGGGCGTCTCTACCCCCCTCGGCAACGGGTGGCAACGCTAATTAATTTGTTTTCCCCGTTCTCCCAGAGTTCCATGAGTGTAATTAGAGTTTGTCCAGGAAGTTGTCGAGGGCAGGGATGCCTTCCTTCAGCCCTTTGCGCTTGCGGGTCTCGGCCACCACCTGGCAGGGTCGGCTGGCGCTGTCGAAGGGGTCCCCGGGCAGGATCTGCCAGTGGTCAAACACACACTGGGGGAAGGCCTGGCCCCCCGTGTTGGACCTCAAATCTGCTGTGAAACCTGGGAGGAAGGAGAGGAGATGTGAGGTGGGACAGGAGTGGTGGAGGTTTGATGTCACAGCCAGTAAAACCCACGCCCCGGGTCACCAGAGGAACCCAGAGTAGATCCTGAAAGCCTCCTGAGATGCCAAATACAGCTGCAACAAGAGGTGGGGATGGAGAGAAGGGGGGTTTGAGCACCTTCCAGTGCCTACAGGGGCTCCAAGAGAGCTGGAGAGGGACTTTGGAAAAGGAATGGAGTGACAGGTCAAGGAGCAATGGCTTCCCACTGCCAGAGGGCAGGGTTAGATGGGACACGGGAAGAAATTCTTCCCTCTCTGGGTGATTGATGAGATACTGGCCCAGGATGCGCAGAAGTGTCCAAGGCCTATGGCAGGGAAGGGGATGAGAAGACCTTGAAAGGTCCTTTCCAACCCAAAATGTTCTGCAAGAACAAGAAGAAACTGCCCGAAGTCGCACCAAGGGAGGCTTAGGCTGGATATTAGGAATAGTTTCTTCTCCAAAAGGGTGGCCAAGTCCCTGCTCAGGGCACTGATGGGAGTCTCCATCCCTGGAGGGATTTAAAAGTTGTGTGGATGTGACACTTCAGGGACATGGATTAGTGGTGGCCTTGGCAGTGCTGGGTAAACTACTGGACTCAGTGATCTCTGATCACTCCCAAGGCTGGCCCCAGGCTCCAGGACTGGCACACTCACCAAAGGACTCGTTGACAGGCAGGTAGGCCTTGACCACAAACATGGGGGTCCCGGCCACCTGGGTCTCCTCGAACACGTGGCCACGCTTCCTGTTCAACACTCCGTAGATGCCACCAACCACCTGCTCTGGGCACTGCAAAAGAGAAGAGCCAGGACTTTAAACTCCCTCCTCACCTTGTGTTCCCCCTCGACCCCTCAGTTCTATGTAATCCAGCAGTTTTCACACTGGGAGAGCGAGCAAGTGGAAATGTGGGAATCCTGGGATGGGTAAAATGAAGGGGGAGAGGGGAACTGCTCCGAGGAGACACAACTGTGTCCATCACACCAGAGAGCTTGGACTCTGCTGGAGCCTCGACAGCAGCTCTGGGATCTTACAGGAAGCAGGGAGCTCCCTCCCTCCCTCCTGCTGTGGGTGACAGAGGCTGCTCACCTGGATCTCCACCAGGTAGATGGGCTCCATGAGGCGGGGCTGGGCGGTGAGCACGCAGGCGTAGAGGCAGCGCCGGGCCGTGGGGATGATCTGGCCGCCGCCACGGTGGATGGCGTCGGCGTGCAGGGTCACGTCGTGCACGTCGAAACGCACCGCCCGCATGTTCTCCTCGCACAGCACCCCCTGGGAAAGCAAAGGGAGGGGTAAATCAGCAGCTCAGGGTACAGTTGGTACCCCCAGACAGGAGATTCCAGGCCTTTGGCTCTGGGGAAGCAGCTCCCAAAGCAGGAAGCCCACCAAGGAGCCACTTGGCCACTCGACCTCTTTGCCGAGGGATGGACCTTCAAGCCTTCAAAAGTTGGACTTTTGGGTTTTGTTGGCATTTCCCAACCCAAGGATTCTGTGAAGGACCAGCTGGTCCCACCACTGTGGCTCCTCAGATGTGCCTGAAGCCACTTTCAGCAGCATCCTCAGAGACCAGCTCTGAGGATCAAGCCAGAAGAGCTGACACATTTATGGTGCTGAAACTCCCAAGTATCTGCCCAAAGAAAACAGGGATTTTTCGTCCCACTAATGTGACAAGAGTTGCTGGCTTGGGATCTTTTTTGGACTGAAATTAACTTTAAAAATTATACAGGAAAATTCATCCCTTCTGTCAATGTTCCCAGTCTACCTGCCAACTTATCTCTGAGTCCTCTCCTGTCCATTTCTGAAAAAATAATTATTATAATTAAATGAATTATAAATTATTTTAAAAATATTATATAAGCCTTAACAGGGATCTGGCCCTCAGAACCCCTTTCCTTTCCTTCTGATGCAAGCTGTGTTAATCACCTGGACAGCTCCTGTCCCAGATGTTACATTTTGCTGTCTGAAAAGCACAATAACCATTTAAAACGTGAAGTTTGTGCCACCCGGCCCTCACCTCCTTGGTGGCCCACTGGAACCCGGCCACCACGCTGTCCTTGATCTCGTTGAGGTACTGCACCCCCTTGGTGATGTCGGTGAGGATGTTGGGGCCGGTGCCGTCGG